CTCTGGATGCTCTGAGTGCTTGGCCGCATGATTTCACACTTGTCTCCAATTTGTCTCCCACTTGTCTCCCACTTGTCTCCGAGTAAGCTCTGGATGCTCTGAGTGCTCTGGCCGCATGATTTCACACTTGTCTCCCACTTGTCTCCCAGTAAGCTCTGGATGCTCTGAGTGCTCTGGCCGCGTGATTATATACTTTTGTCTCATTTGTCTCCCACTTGTCTCCCAGTAAGCTCTGGATGCTCTGGCCGCATGATTTTATACTTGTCTCCCATTTGTCTCCCACTTGTCTCCCAGTAAGCTCTGGATGCTCTCAGTGCTCTGGCCGCATGATTTCACGCTTGTCTCCCATTTGTCTCCCACTTGTCTCCCAGTAAGCTCTGGATGCTCTCAGTGCTCTGCCCGCATGATTTCATACTTGTCTTCCATTTGTGTCCCATTTGTCTCCCAGTAAGCTCTGAGTGCTCTGGCCGCATGATTTCAGACTTGTCTCCCACTTGTCTCCCAGTAAGCTCTGGATGCTCTAGTGCTCTGGCCGCATGGTTTCACACTTGTCTGCCATTTGTCTCCCATTTGTTTCCCACTTGTCTCCCAGTGAGCTCTGGATGCTCTGAGTGCTCTGGCCGCATGATTTCACACTTGTCTCCCACTTGTCTCCCAGTAAGCTCTGGATGCTCTGAGTGCTCTGGCCGCATGATTTCACACTTGTCTCCCACTTGTCTCCCAGTAAGCTCTGGATGCTCTGACTGCTCTGGCCGCATGATTTTATACTTGTGTCCCATTTGTTTCCCACTTGTCTCCCAGTAAGCTCTGGATGCTCTCAGTGCTCTGGCCGCGTGATTTCACGCTTGTCTCCCACTTGTCTCCCAATAAGCTCTGGATGCTCTAAGTGCGCCGCATGATTTTATACTTGTCTCCCATTTGTCTCCCACTTGTCTCGCACTTGTCTCCCAGTAAGCTCTGGATGCTCTCAGTGCTCTGGCCGCATGATTTTATACTTGTCTCCCATTTGTCTCCCACTTGTCTCCCAGTAGGCTCTGGATGCTCTCAGTGCTCTGGCCGCATGATTTCACGCTTGTCTCCCATTTGTCTCCCAGTAAGCTCTGGATGCTCTCAGTGCTCTGGCCGCATGATTTCATACTTGTCTCCCATTTGTCTCCCACTTGTCTCCCAGTAAGCTCTGGATGCTCTGAGTGCCCTGGCCGCATGATTTCAGACTTGTCTCCCACTTGTCTCCCAGTAAGCTCTGGATGCTCTAGTGCTTTGGCCGCATGATTTCACACTTGTCTGCCATTTGTCTCCCATTTGTTTCCCACTTGACTCCCAGTAAGCTCTGGATGCTCTGAGTGCTCTGGCCGCATGATTTCACACTTGTCTCCCACTTGTCTCCCAGTAAGCTCTGGATGCTCTGAGTGCTCTGGCCGCATGATTTCACACTTGTCTCCCACATGTCTCGGATTACATTGGGTCTGCGCATTCGTGTTTAAAGTTTACAAGGGGGGCAACATATGTCACAACCTGGATCCATAAATTTCATGTTTTAGCCCTTGTACGGCGTCCCATTGTAAAGTCAATGAAAAACAGAATTTTAATGCTTTCCCTTTGAATCTTGTATGTGCGTCTACATGGTGGACTACAGTTTTCTTCCTCTAGGAAATACTGCTGGCCATATTGTTCGGAGATCTCATTTTTGAACATTGCTCTGTTTGGGGTCTACGCTGGTATAATATTGATACTTGCGTCTTTGCTAGGAAACCATTGTGTTTAAGTCTAAGTAGTCAAAACGACCTGTGACCGTCATTCCCTCAATCGGCTACATCAATTCTGACCTGAGCCCTGGGCACTTTTCCTCCACTTGTTGCATTGCTGCACATAACAAAAGGAAGTTCAACACGAGCTGATACAGGTCATCTTGTCAAATGAAAATGGTTTGCTTTATTCTGTCCAGTTCAGGTGTCTCCGGTGTCTTGTGAAGGGACATAATGAAGTTCCCCGCAACCCCACGACGTTGTATGGGATTGCTGACTTGGCCACCTTTTGGTTGCTTGTCAATACCGAAGCAAACATACGCAGCGACTGGTGACTCTTACAGTAAAGTGTCATTGATGTCAAACACCGCAAGATAAAGATAGGATAGGCCAAGCTGAGGAGACTCATGAACTTAAAATATATCTACATTCAGCTTTGCCCCTACGGTGGTCGCTTCAGGTTTCGTAGCGTCTTGCCTGTAAGAATCTCCCCATGAACAAAGTGGAGAGGTTTCCCAAAAGGGCGACTCTCGAAGATTGAAACTTTGCAAGTCAAGTTTGGTGTTGAGTGGATCTACTGGAATGGCGTGGAGTCCTTGGCACTTCAGCAACCTAAACATCTGGTTCCGAACAATTGGTTCCGAACAGCATCATGCTCTTGCGCTCCTGCTTCCACACTTGCCGCCACCCTCCCCGTCCCCCACAAGTCCCGACGCTTTCCCAAACGATTCCTGCACAGCAGTCCACCAGCCGCTCTGCTGCCTCGACGCAGGAAAAGTGTGAATCACCTGGCGGGAGGCAAGACATCTTCGCGTTCGGCATCTTTGGTTTCCCAACTTTTGAAAGGCGAAGGGATGTTCCACAAAACAACCCTATCAATAAAACATTCCATCTATAAAACACTGAATTTATAGTAATACACAATGCTTTGCCCTGGTGCTCCTTCAGCGAGTGTCTCCGACGTCTGTTGGCGCTAGGGCCTAGGGTGTTTGCAAGTGTGCACCTGTTGTAGCAATGTGTACATAAATTCCAGGCCAAACTCCGACACACTCTTCGCAAAGAAAGACGAATGACACTGTTCAAGTGGACAGCGCTGCACCTCCAAGATTTAGGTTTGGAGAGTGCGTTTGAGAAACAATTCCAACGCGTCGCAAGGCATGCCAATAGTTCTTTCTTTGCAAATAGTGTCAGGGTTTGAGCTTGAACTTATGTACATTGCTACAACATGTGCACACTTGCAAAAGCCCTAGGCCTTAGTGCCTTTCTCTCTGGGCACCCACAGCCGCAAAAGATCATAAGGCGTGTGATTGCGCAGACCGCAAACCTGCTTCAAAGGGACCTGAGGCTGTTCAAATCATCGGTGAGCCGATGAAATCTTAATAACAGGGCCAAGATGCAAACCGATGCTCAGAAAACCAGACTTCCAATACTTTCCACAAGACCGGAAGAGTTTGATCATCTTGAACGTGTTGGAGTCTGTTTTGGTTTCGGAGTCTGATCCCAAACATTTGCGCATTTTATAAGAGGCAGGAGCAAACTCCTTTGGAACACATCCCAAAAACACCATGCCGGAGTTCTTTCTCATGGTCTTCATCTTTCTGGAATGCATAAGCCCAGCATGAACAACTGTACGGCCTATTGTCCATGACGCCGCCCTTGGTTTCTTTTTCTTGGGTGCTCCATCGCGCTTTGTCGCGCGGAGCGCTCAGCGTGTCGCTGGCTTACCGAAGGAAAGCCACACTGTGCCCCAGTACTTCGGTGTCCAAAACCAGATCTGGCTTCTTGTTACTAGAAGCGATGCACCTGTTACTAATAGCTTCTTGTTACTACTAGTAAGGCACTTGTTACTAGAAGCGATGCACCTGTTACTAATAGCTTCTTGTTACTATATAGTAGTAAGAATGCTCCTAGTAGCGATGCCAGGAGCCCTTAGTAGCGTCCTGCTCCTAGTAGTAAGGCCAGGAGCCCCTAGTAGCCCCAGGGGTGCCTCCGGCAATTCTCACTCACGTGATCTCACATGCCTCGGCGGATCTCATCCAAGGCGTATTGACATCTGAAAGGCTTCCCATCCTGACAGATGCAGCAGTCGCTCGTTATTCTTTGTTCAATGGCTGGGGTGTCTTCTTTGCAACCGCCTGGATGGCGCTGCGAAACATAAACAATACCGGATATATCAGGATATCCTTTACCTTTACCTGATGTGGTGCTGGATTATTGTCTTCTACGGCACTCTTTTTCTGGATGGTGTAGCGGAAAGTCTACCAACGATCTTTCTCCTGTCAAGACCACTCTTGAGAGTTTCTACTCACAACTCAAGGGGGAGTTGTACTTTTCCAGACTTCAAATCAAAATTGCAACGAGCCACGTGCGAACACGCGAGTCGCTAAACCCTAAACCCAGCCACTACACTTCACCCCCACGACCACACGTCCTCCATGAAGGCTGTGGCTTCGGGCAGGAACTTTCCGCCGCAGAAGTTACACTCCTCTGACTGCAGGACGCCCTTCGGCGCCGCTTACTCTTTCTGCTACAAGAACTTCAGGACTGTAGGTTCACTTTGAAGACTTTCCTACATGGCCTGGATCATCGAAGTCTTGAATTCTTGGATCCCCGTGGCGATGCCTCGAAGTCTCCGGTGAGGTCTGATGCGAAAGGTGTGGCATTCTTGCAGTCTTCCAATTGACCAAAACCGCCCAAGCGAACCAAAGTGTGGGGAATACAGGTTGGCGATCAAGGGATGGCTAGACGTTCTTCATTTGAGTCGGATTAATTCTTCAGGAAGTTAACTCTTCAAGAGATTCTATGAGAACACTTAACACTTGCCAACAATACTTTAGGTTGGAGGCCATCGCTAGTAGGTTTAAGATCCTTAAAGTATGTTTGTCTATAGATGTTAGAGGGATTGATCCACAACCCGGAACACCCACCATGGTGCTCAGCCCAGCTAGCAAATCAAGTCAATGTACCGACTGAAAACCAAACTTTCACCGGGTTGATGTGATGGGCATCACGATTGCTCTCTCCCTGCAAGCAACATTAAACTATGTCATGAACCAATACAACACTTTCATGGAACTCTTTCATTCATGGATGGTCTGGACCAGCATAGACTCGACATGGGCAAACTAAGCGTTTGTAAGACACATGCAGAAATCTCATTGCTATAGGAGGTCCATTTCCAATGTCCGTGCCCTTGTTTGGTTTCATCCTCAGCCTGAATTCAATCTGTATCTCTATGCAACATGATGCCTCCACGGAGCTTTCACAGCGCGTGAGCTCATGAATCTCCTTGTGGTTGGAACTCACCGGAGATGAGAGGTTCTCAGTCGGTCGATGCAAATCATAAACAGCAGCGCTAGCGGTTCATGTCAAAGCACGTCCTGCGTAGCACCCCAAATCCGTCCATAGTGCTATTTCCGTCCTCAATAGTTTTCCACGACGCAGATGCAGCAATTCGTAATTACCATTCATTTGATTTCCGGGACCCATGCAAGGGGAAACAAAAAGATTCCGTGGGGGACGTGTCAGGGCTTTGACTCATCCTCATAAAGGGGACGCTGAACAAACAGTAAAAGGAAAGGTTCACTTAGTATGTTGTCGTGTTTTTCCACACCCGGTCTACCAGAGCTTACAACCCATCATGAACTAGAATAGCCAATGACCTTGACGATCAAACTTGACGTGAATGTTCAGTAGTTTTCAACAAGCAAGCAGCGCATCTCCGCTAAGGGTCACTGATAGCACTATTGCTCCTTCCCAAGGATACTTTCATAGGGTGTCTTGGTACTTAGTTGCTTCTAACACTCATTGACACCTGTTTTGGTCTTTATCATCGAAGAGCTGACAACAACACTGGAATAGATGCAGCACTGTTGTTCTTACTCTATTTGCTGGAACACGAAGCTTCGCAAAGTTGAGAAACGTCAAATTGATGCGTCCCATTTGTGGCAACCTTTGGTAAAAGGCGAAAGCTATGCACCTTGAAGTGAACGCTGTAATGGGTATCTTGCCTTTGCTGGCCCTGCATGCCACACAGATTCTATGCAGCTGTACATCTTTCAACCCCATTAACACAAACAACATACGACCAATTATGTGCGTACATGTATTCCCCGTACGAATGCTCATGGATTCGCGCCCTTGCCATACATCCTCTTCCGGAAAATAAGCAGTTCAATCAAAAAATCCTGAATTGTGGCAAATTCCTGCCTGTTGACTGTTGAAATTTTCCAAACATAGATTGTATATCCCGGATGAGCACCTAAAGTCCAGCAGGTTTCCGTCGAGCTGTAGTGAAAAGATAGAGTTTCTCTCACAGCATTTTCGCACAAACACCAAAACAAGAACTGGACTTCTACAGCTGAAAGCATCTGCACCACCTGGACCGGAACCACAATGTTACCGGTCTTTCCAAGCTTCCAAGGAGTCTGGCGATGTAGCAAGTGTTTCGGTGACGACCAGTTCCTCCTCCAGTATCCCAAGGAGACCAGGTCACCCCGGCAAAGGCTGAGCTGTAAAATGACGTTTCAACCATTGTAAGGAGCCCCTAGTAGCTTCAAACAACACATCCACACATCCACGCGGGTAAACCCTTCCGAACATACATTGCAAGAAGAGGACACTGGGAAGATTGTGTTGATCATTCTTGAGGATGCTCTCCTCTGAAACAAACAGTAATTGTGTGTTGTTTTGGTGATTGATCCATCCAAAAATACGGTCGGTGGACTAGTCTGTGGGTATGCGTGGGCTAAACACTTTGCTCCCCAAACTGCAAAACCCCACAAACTCAATGGTAACACGAAACAATGATGCCCAAACGTGGTGATCTTGCTGAAGGCCAACCTGCCCCAAAGTCCGAAGATTTTTGACGGTTATGACTCGGGCCCAAAGTGTTCATTAACGTCTGCACATGGTACATGAACACATCGACGCTGTTTGGCTCGGATACTCCCGTGACCGGCTGATTTCAGCCCACTTGTGCAAGCCTGCCGACCTGCCGACGTGCCGGGTCAAGTCACCCCCTTGGTGCAAAGCTCGCTCCTGGCAAAGTAGCTTCCCTTTTGCACCTGGCCGAGGAGATGTGAAGGATGTGTTTGAAGGATGGTCTCCGCGTGGCCCAAGACCAGCGCATGTTCCACAGAAGCCGAGTCACAGGCGTGCTTTGTATCGGCTTCACAGTTTTTGGCTTTGGGGTCCTTGGTTGAAAGCAGCAATCGTGCAGGTCGTTAGCCAACAGGTGTCCAAGTAAAAGGGCAAGGCATTGTCGCCTTTGCCAATCAAGGATAAACTGTTGAAGTGTGTTTGGAAGTTTGCTTTCGTCTCTACCAGTTGTAGTCTAAAGGTGTGACTTGCTTCTATTGTGCCTTAACATGAGAACTCCCTTGCACCGCGAGCCCTTTTCTATATCAAAGAGAGGGTGTTTGGGGGAAATGGCCCAGATACCGAATCGAGAACATGCTCTAACTGGCCATACAAGCAAATCAGAACGCAGCTCTTTGCAAACCATCCGATGGTTCCATTTCTTTAGGTTCTCGCAGAAGGGTGCTTTGTTATTCAGAATGCTTCTTCTTGAATTTGTCAAACCACCCCTCTTGCATGGTTGTCCACCCACTCCTTTTCTCCAGCAAAAGCCCAGGCTCTGCCAAGGAGTTGGAGGTCGACATCTTCAACCCACAGGGCCTTGCACCAGCATTATAGAGCAGGGCCTTCACAAACATATACTATACACCACCAAAGTGTGCAAACAGGTCGGTTGGTTGCATTTTAGCCATATTTTAATTTATAATACAATATTATATATTATATATATACATTGTATATAATATATATATATATCATATGTTCACCTTGAAGAGAAGATCCACCTGAGCTAATAGGATGTCAAGGGTTCTCAGCTCAGCTGTTTGGCGGGTAGGCACAAAGAGGGGATTCTAAGGAACTGATAGGGAGCATTGAGAAAGCGTACCAAGCACGATGAACAGTTAGGTGAATTCACACATCCGTAGGAAACACAATTTTGAAAATGTTGAACTACCTCCTCCGAGATACACTTGACTTGCTTGCGCCATGGGCGCCGCATATGACCTTGGAGCCTTGCCCCCTTGTATTAAATTGGTCAAGCAGTGCAGCCACAAAATACAGCGCATTCAAATACCCAAAAGCATCGTACTTTGGTGGCGACCCAGGGCGGTTGGACCGATTTCAAAACGTCCTGGCAAGGGACCGTGTGGGATGCAAGCTGGGCGTGAGGTGGTCCCAGAAGTCCAACAGGGTTTGCTCGTGAAAACGAAGTTGGACATTTATTGTAATAGCTTCTTGTTACTACTAGTAAGGCACTTGTTACTAGAAGCGATGC